GAAGTTTCCTGTTCAGGACGATAGCTGCGTCTTCTTAGGTGGGAAATAGCAGAGTTGTGTGTTGTGCAGGAGTTCATTGGTGTGTAGAAGGCTCGTATGGAAGCTGAGTTCTCAAAGGGACGGACTTACTGATTATTCATTATTGCCTCCCAGCTCCAGATTCACCCTTCTTGCCTGCTTGGTGAAAATGGAGCCGGCCAGGCCTGGGTTCAAATCCCTTGTCTGCTACTTGTTTGCTGTGTGACCATGCCCAAGTCACTTAACCTCTCTGAGCCCACCTCTTCATCTGTATAATGGGGGAAACAGCAGCACCTGTCACCCCACTCCTCAAATCCACCTGCACGCCCTCTTGCTCTCCTCCAGCCCAACACAGGCACCCTCCCAAGGCTGAACTCCTCAGCTGGCAGCCCCCCTCCCTGCTCCCCACCAGCAAGCCGGGGGCTGCCCCTTCACCCCCACCAAACCACCTCCGGCCCGTGCCCGTGGTGAGCCCGGCTCACTCCACCCCCAACTCTCCCTCCTAGCCCAGACGACCAGCCCTGGCGGCCCAGCCGCAGCGGGTACCCAAGCCAGGACGCCCTGCCCACCCTGCGCCCAGCTCCAGGGCGTGGTCCTGCCCTGCAGCAGCCCCTGTGACGGCACCACTGTCCTCGGCATCTTAAAAGACTACACCACTCACACGTGAGGCTCTTTCAGGAAGCGTGAGGTTCTGCAGCACTCCCACAGCTGCCCCTCTTTCTTCTGACGTCAGCACCCCCAAATTCCTTTCCAGGAGTGAGACTCCCCAAAATGCCGTCTTGGCAGGACTGCCGAGCACAAGGCCCTGCACCCCGCTGGGCCAGGGCTGCCCCAGTGAGTCCCCCGGTGAGGGCCCCTCTCCCGGGACACGGAATCCAGTCCTGCAAGAGCCTTAGCAGCTGGCTGGGGCCGCCCATCCTGGACGGGGGTGCCCAGATGGCTCTGAGCAGATCTGACTGAGACCCGTCCCCATCAGCTGACCTCGGACCCAAGAGCTTCCTTCTGGTGACTCCTCCGCTGCCAAACTGGCCAGCGCCGACGGCCACTGCTTGTGAAACAGGAACCGTGGCTGACTCTCTTAGCCCCACGTCACATTCACGCGTGTCCCCAGACTGAACCCACGGACACCCGGTCCCCCCGAGGGACCCTGCACAGCCACAGGCCAGGGCCTCGTGCTTTCTGCAAAAGCCACGCTGGCTGCGTGGCACAGTCTCCTCCCTCCGGCGTCGGCCGTGGCAGGATCTCGGCGAGTCGGGAAGCTGAGCAGGTGCCGCCTCTTGTTTGAAACAAACAGACGCGGCAACGAGGCGTCCCTGAGCAGGTTACACGGAAAGCAGGTATTTCTGCAGATGTTAAAAATAAAAACTGATGCCTACGGAGGATAAACACAGCGAACACGGATCCTCATTCGATAGCCAAAAAGCAAAGGGCTTACTCTGCACCAAGAGACCACGGGACAGGACAGCCACGAAAGGGCAGCGCGCAGGAGCCGTGGGCACAAATGGGGCCAAACGCACCCCCAGGGGCGCAGGGAGGGCTCACCAGGAGGGAAGGACGAGAAGACGTCAGCCAGGCGAGGAAAGGGAAGAGGAGTGACGTCTAAGAAGCTCCTAGAACACGCTACGCTGCCAGCACCATCTCTGCCCTGTACAGTGGTCCCCTTGCCCCCAGCTGTCCACCCCCGGTCTGTCCTCAGCCACGGGAGTCTGATCGTGCCATCGCTCTGCTCAAGCAATGCCAGCATCTCCCCACCCTCATCGTCCTGACCTCGCCTCCTACCACCCTCCTCGCCGCTCCTCAAGCAGGCCCTGCACGGCCCTACCACAGGGCCTTTGCACGCGCCGCGCCCTCTCCCCCATGATGCTTTCGTGGCTAGCCCCTCTCGCTTCCCTCAGGTCTGTGTGTGACCTGTCCCTGCCCTCTCTAGCCACGTGGCCTTTCCTCCATCACTCTGTCCCCTTTCCACCCACTGTCCCCGCGGCTCTCCCGCCCTGAAACTGCATCAGTCGTCTGCCCATGGATCAGAGACGAGCACGCGACCTGGGGACCCGGGTGCGTGAATCCACGCGTCACCTCCACCAGCCATCGCTGTGTTTGCAGAGCAGCCGCTGAGTCAAAGGCCGCAGCTCTGACGGGCGGGCGGGACGCCCCGGCACGCCGCCAGGAACCCAGCCCGCGTTGCAGGCGGCGGCAGCACTTTCGAAGCCTGGTGACAAGGGCCGGGGCGTCACAGCCCCTTGCTCGTCAGCCCCAGCATCTCCCGAGCGCTGAGGGCTGTGCGGGGAAATCGCGGTCACTACCCGCAGGCGGGCCAGCTGCGTGAACTCTGGCTGATCCGAAACCCGGGTGAGATGTGACTCCCAGGGGGTTGAGGGTGGTCTCGGGGGACCTCCGCCCCCATCCTGGGACCCAGGGCTGTGACATCAGTATCGGCTTCAACGAGCTCACGGCTCATCCAGCCAGGCGGGCAGGGAGGCCTGGTGGGTGGGAGCGCAGGTGTCACCCAGGATCGGCCAGCCCTGCCCCGCCGGGAGCCGCACGCTGTGCTCAGAGCCCGCACGGGCCCGGGGAGCGGAGGCGGACCAGCCACAGCGGGGAATGAGACTTTTATGGGCAGCTGGGCTACGAGAGCCATGGGGGCGGTAACCAGGACCACGTGCGTGAGATTGGGCCAGGGCTCAGGGCAGACCGCTCTTGAGAGGGGACACCCGAGCTGAGGCCTAAACGATGCTGAGGAGCCAGACACCGAGAGGGGCTTGGCCACGCTATCGCCCTTCCCTAGGCCTCAGTCTCCTCATCTGTCAAATGGGTACAGCTATCACCCCTACTCCATACGGGGATGCTGTAACATCTGACAGGTGAGTATGTGAAAAGCGTGTGGCACAGGGTCTGGACCACAGTCAGGGCTCAAGAAGAGGTTGTGGATCGGAGGCAAGGAGGGGTGAGCACGCTGCCTTGCAGAGTCAATTTCGACAAACGCTCGCGCCCCTCCTCCGTGCCCGGCAACCTCCTGGGCATCGGATACTGCAGTGAACCGAGGCAGGTAAGAAGCCTGCCCGCACGGAGGGTCCCCTCTGGTGCACGTGACCTGGACGGCCAGGTTGGCACATTCCTCCTCCCCTAGGCCCACACCCCCGGGACCAGGGCAGGAGGGAGGCGGAGTCCCAGGCTGCATGGAAGCGCCCAGCGCCTGCAACTGGACGGTCCCCCCGAGTCCAGGCCCACCAGCACCGCCACCTCCCTCGGCAGGAGCCCCGGCTGCTGCACGGCGGTCCCCGGGGAACTGTGTGTCCCTGGTTCCTGAGTGGGGGTCTCGGCGGTGATTCCGGGGGCTTGGCCGCGACAGAGAGCCCCAGGCCCCACCCGGGTGACTGACCCTGTGCTCTGAGGAAGGCCAGGACCTCGTTCTGATGCTTGGGAGTCACAGGCAAAGCCACCAGGGCCCACTGGGGGCGGAGCCACCTCCCTCGGCCTCGGGGGCCTGGCACAGGAGGAGCCCAGCGGAGCGTGCGCCAGGGTGCGCAGATGGGCGGAGGGACATCCAGCCGGACCAAGCCCACTCCTGTCCCCCCAGGTCACCAGTGGCCCAAGGCGCTGCCGCCGGGCAAGACACAATGAGGTGACCTTCCCTCTCTGTACCGGCCACCTTCTCTGTGCCGGCCAGCTGGGGCAGGCGGGAGGCAGGAGGAGCCGGCACCCGGGCACAGAAATGCCAGCTCCAAGCTGCCGCTCCCCATCCTGAGAACGGGGTGCGGACACCATCACCTGGAGGCGCAGGCCTGGGGCTCTGGAATCCTAGGAGCAGGGGCCCCTCAGGGACCTCCGGCCCCCACCTCCGAGAAGGGCCCGGCTGTCCCGCCCGGACCGTGGCCGTCGGCCCTGGGTGAGCACTCTAGCGAGTGGATGCGCCTCCCTCACCAGAAAACCCACCGCCATGAGGCCTGCTGGTCGGCTGCTAGAACGTTCCTGCCTGAAGTCCGCTCTGACCTTTGACCTGGCAGACCCATTGACTGAGGGGTCGAGGGAGACCTGCCAGGAAGGGGCTGGCAGGAAGGCGGCCCCGTGGGGCAGTCCCCACGGGCATCGACCCGCTCCAGACCCAGCGGCCAGCTCGCCGGAGGTAAAGCCTGGGACACGTGAGCCCTGCAAGCCTCGGGCTCCCCGCCTGTGAAATGGGGCGATGACAGCACAGCCGTCATTACACGAGGCCGCCGTGAGGACTGAGTGGGACGGGCCCACCGGGTGCCGACAGAACACCACGCCCGGCCGCGCCCCTGCTGGATTTAGCTCCATCCGTCGCAGACAGCAAGCGAGAGAGGAAGAGGTGGGCAGACGCCAGGGCATAGCGTCAAGAGGGCAGATTTCTCCTGGGGACAGCCGCGGAGGCCTCCCCCCACTCTGTCACAGCAGGGCGGCGGTCAGAGTCACAGCGTGGGACCAGTCCCAGAAGGGACCAGCGCTGGCACCTCAGTGCCCGCGGCTCACGCCACCAGCACCGCAGAGAAACTCTCGGTGAGGTGGATTCTGACATCCGGCGTCCACCAGCCCCCACCGCCCGGACACCAGGGCTGTGCGTCAGTGCCACCTCGGGCCACCAGGCAGGGCACAGGGAGAGGCCGAGGCCACGGCCCCCTTCGCAGGAGGCCGAGTGCAGAGCCAGAAAGAGGGGGCTGCCGGCCTATTAACACACCATCTCTGCGTGCGCCTCCCCGGGGAGCTGGGCGGGCAGAGCTGGAGCAATAAGGGTGTCCAGACAAGTAGAATTTTTAAAAGAAATATTCAGCTATTAAAACCCCAGCTCCTGGGCCACACTGGGCTGCATACCAAGTGGTTGGC